ATGTTAGGCTGAGTCATGAGGTTACCTCAACAAAATGTGTCAGAAATATTTCACTATAAACTCAGTTTTAACATACAAGTTACAAACAGTAAAGAACTGTATATGTGGAGATGGGGGAACCCAGAAGGTAAAAGATTGAGGGAACATATACACACTTAAAAACTAGTTAAGAAGCACACTTATAATTTCAGCACTTCTGAGGCTGAGGCAGGAAGATTGCTACAAGTTCAAAGCCAGCCTGAACTACATAATGAGACCCTATCTCAAAAAAAAAAAAAGACTTAAATACAATTATTCACAATCTGAAGTCTTTATTTGGATCCTGATTCAGATAAAAACATCCACTTATAATATTTAAGAGAAACCCAGAGCATTTATTAGAGATTTCATGATATAAAACTCATGTGACAACAGTGCTGTGGTAATGTTTTCTGAACGTCCCTACTTCCTACATACCTACTGAAATATGTAAAAATACCTCACTTTAAAAAAACTTAGAAGTTCGTGAACAATAAAAAATTTCTTAGTTTCAGGCCATTCTTGACAGCTGTATTTACCCTTCTTTCCTGGTTCATTCTGTTACAGAGTAATTAAGATAATACACAGCATAACTCTGAGAATCACTTATTTTACAAACAAAAGTAGTAGAACTAAATAATTTCAAAGAGCTTAAACTAGGAAATTATTTCCCATCCTTCATTCAATGCTACAGCATTGCTTCAAGCCAATGCTACAGGGAATAAAGTCCTGGACAATACATTTTATGATTCCTTTCAATCTAAAAAGATTCTAATTAAATAATTCTTCACAATAAAAATGACTTCTTTTAAGGCTTCTTTATAGACGAGTGGTGATGAACCTATGTGTTCAACTATATGTTGCAGCAGACTATTTGCCATCACTGTTATAGACAATAAAAGATCATTGAATTAATGGCTACTCATCAATGTTGAAATCACTTTCACAATCTAGCCTAGTGTTTTTCACAGAACCTGATTTCGAATTTAACCACATGTAGGGAAAGCAATGGGTTTAGTTTGCCACATATGCAAGGGTGACAACCTATACAATACAGAAGACCTTTAGGCTTGTGGTGTAGACCGAGCTAAAATGTACACACGACTACAACAAAGTATTCAGTAAACACTGGCGAGATAGACAGATGGTCAGTTAGCTTTGAATCTAGGGTTACAAAGGCTTGACCACATTAAAATTTTCTGATAAAAAATATGAGTATAACAGAGAAATGTCTTAAAATGTTCTCGTCTGAAATAAGCAGCAGCACTCACGCAAAAAGGGAACATGAAGAGTTACAGATAAAAGAACATTCACTGTTCTTTCAAAATTTCTGCATTCTGTAGAATGAAACTTTAAAAAAAAACAGGATGGAATTTGTCCTAAGACCATACAATGAAACTCATTCTGTATAATTAATATGCAACAGGTTAACAAAAATTTCATTCTAGTTCTCATTGCCAAAAAGAGTTGACCAAAAATACATTTTAATAAACATATACAATGACAACATCTGGAAATGACTGTTAAAAATCTATACTATAAACCATAAAGTTTTTAAAAAGTAAAGCAAAATGAGAGTTTTTCTGATCATAAAATATTTATTAAGGTATACTTTAAGGAATATAGTGAATATAAAATTTAGGATCACAATATGAAGCAATTTCAATCCTCTCAAAAGTCTGAACATCCCTCAATACTCTGCAGATATAAAATCACTGGTGAAACTCACTAAAAAGCAGTTTGCCTAATACAGAAGTGGCTTTTCATAAACATTTACAACTAAAGCATGTGAATACCTCTTTTAACTGCAAAACCACACATTACACTAATGCAGTAAGAATGCATTCATATTGTTTTCATTAGTCATTAGTAGTCAACTTGCATAAAACACCAGAAGAAAAGCACAATGGAGCTCACAAAATGGGCTAAAAGACGAACCTTTCCTTGCAAAACATACTGTAATGGAAGAAGAGACATTTTAAAAAGTATTATGCATACTACAGAAGCTGCGTTCATTCCAAGAATCTCAAGTATCATCTCCTTTTTCATAAAATGAAATTACAAGAACCAGGCACAACTAATATTTGGGAGGCAGTGTGTAGCTAAAATCTCATTTAACTAATTATTCAATGATTTTTAAAATACCCATAAATCTTCTCTGTCCTGAGGTAGTTGCAAAATAAATCATAACTTGAATATCAACTAGAGCTGAGGCTTTGACTTTTTACTTCTTAAACTAGTTGTTACTGACAGAACTACCTTTTAATAGTTAAGACAGTTGAAAAATGGGCCTCTTACTACACACAAGATGATGGCTATGTGGGAAAGAGGAGTAGCTGCTTCAGAATGTGAGAGATATGGTCCACTGTTGCTTCCACCCTCCCCACCCATTTTAGATTCTTTATTGTCCAATAAGCCACCAGGAACAACACACAAGCAGACAGATCATCGTCCTTTGCTGTAGCCGGGGAAGAAAAGGTCAAGTAGAGTCTGTAGAATCTCATTGGGAATCATGACATAATTCTGGCCAAGATCATGCCGGCAAGCAGGGCAGGAAAAAACTTGGGCCTTGAAGGAGCGCTGCAAGCAATCCTAAGGTAAAAACAAAGGAAAGAGGCCACACACAAAACATCCAATTTCATCAGTGTCAAGCATGTGGAAAAGAAATCAGTAACTTACACTTTTGAACAGGAATTATAAACTGTTTATAATAAGAGATATGTGCACCTTTATAGGCCTGAATGTGTACTGTACAGTCTATGGTCAAAGTCTATAGTTCCATCCCTGAAAAATACTGTGAGACTTCAGGTAAATGATCTGTTTTGTGCTTCAATTCTTCAACTGGTAAAATGAAGGTTTTTGAGTATGTATGGTTCCCACAAGCCTGATCATTTAGGCTAGACTTTAATCCTAGCTATTTACTGATGGAGCCAGAAAGGAGGAAAAAAAATCAGGATTCTATTTCTTAGATATGTCATTTACTTATCAAATCACTTAACAGATAATGTGTTTTCTAAAAATATATTTAGCTGTACTAAACACAGAGAATGAACTGGTGCTCAGGCACAAAAACATATATAAAAGAACTGTTCCTATTTTAAAAAGAAGACAAGTTCTGAGGTGAGGTCAAGGCATAAAGCCATCACTTGGTAGAGCAAGTTTCCAACCGTGGCTTGACTAAAACTCAAGTTTTCCTTTTGTGCCGCACAGATAACATAATATTCAAATCATGTGAACATCTTGCCAGGAAGAATCTGGTTTAGGTTTTTTACCAATTGCATGAAACTAATACATAAAACTTAAAAACTTACATAGAAAACAGCAATGATAACCTTATTTCTTCTTTCCTATTTCATCCCTTCCTTGATAATTCCAAACATGGTGAAACACTTGAAGCGATATATATTAGACTTACTATTGAAATCATATTAAAACATGCATTTACCACCAAGATGTAATTAAATGTTTCTTAACTGGCAGGGTTCCATAACTATTCTCCTTCATGAAAAAATGTTTTTTCATATGCTAAAAACAGGTACAGAGTTTAGTGTGCCTTAAAGCCTGTCAAGGGAAAGTGGAAGAGAATTCTACTTACTTTACAGACATTGTGGAAGCACTCTGTTGTCACAGGTTGATAAACTAGCTCCTGACAGCAGACACACATGAAAGACTGTTCCAATTTTTTCAGAAAATTCTAAAATAGCACCCAAGAGGAAGGAAAACAATGTTAGCAGTTCATAATATATATTCAATGAAATTCTAAAGGGTCAAAAAAATTAACTTACATTTAATGTGTTTTATATCAAGAAAAAGAAAATTTTAACTACTTAAGCCAAGCAAACATGACAGAGTGAACAAAACCCATCAAAGTCCCTCTAAATTTCACATTCCAGGAACTTTTTCACACACACAAAAATCAGGGACTGGGTTTGTAGCTCAGTGGTTAGAGGGATTTAACACGTAGAAGGCCCTGGGTTCAATTTCCAGCACCAAATAAACACAACAACAAAACATGGATAGCTTAAGGTGATTACATACTTATCTTTCCATAAGCTCTACTGCATGCTATTCCAGTATATGAAATGTTATTCATTACATTAAACATTTTATTGGTATAAAACCTAAATGTTTTTTGAAGCTTAAAAAAAAAAACTAGGCAAAGTTACTCTGTAGTATCTAATACAAGGAATCATATTTTTCTCAGTAACCTTTTATTAACTTAGTTTTCAATAAAGAAACAAAAGAATTTGATCATTAAAAAATATCATAGATGCCAATTCAAAACGAGGTTCTTGTTAAACAAAGCAGAACACTATACCCTATAATTACATCTTTAATTTTATTTACAAGAATTGGGTACAAAGTGCTATAAAATAAGACTCTGGAATAAGATAAAAATGGTTAGCTGTAGAAGTTAGCTAACCTCACTGCTTATAATTAATGACAACTCTTTACATCCTTAATTAGCATTTTATTTATATACTAATAGAAGAGCCACCATTCTGATACCCAACTGATACCTAATTTTTGAAAACAATCCCTGTCCACAGGTCTAAACTTTATTTCTACATATAATTTAGTTACTTGCTTCATTTTTTTTCGTAAATAGGTAGAGGACAGGTTTTTTAAAAAAAATATTAGTAGATCCTTTCAGACAAATGCATTTTAATCAAGATGAGAATAAAAAATAAAACAAGTTTCATGAAAGAAAAGAAAAAGAGTTTAGGAAAAGCAAACTGTACTCTTACACTTTTTTTTTCCTTCAATCAAAGTACCCTGTATAATAGACATGGATTAGTTCTGGCCCTCCTATTTAAGAGACTAAACATATGAAGCTAAACCCAATGTCATAATACCCAGAATGCTTAAAAATTATTTGCTACAAAGCTTGTGAATCAAAGAAATCTTTAAAGCACAATGTATACCTAAGTGAACAAGGAGCTTTGGGAAGTACACAGGAAGAATGACTCTTTAAGTGTAGTATTCAAGGGTCTAAATAACAGTCTTCCTTTTGGTCGAGGTGAGAGGTGGGATATAGTTGGGCATGTGTTATTCATATGGAAGCATATGGCCCATTAGCTTCTAAATCCTTCTAATACCCCTGTAAGTAGGTACAGCCAAATATTACACCCTGGAGGAAAGTGAGGCACTAAGAAGAGTCCAGTCTGAATAGTTCACCAGTTGCAGAAAACTGATTTTCATGTTTCCTTTTTTTTAAATCTTCGTAAAAACAGTGTAAGTTTTCATTTATATTTCAAAGCACCTATGAAGCAGACACTAGATATCCTCAGTTAAAGCAAAATGATTACAAAGGAAAACATCTATATTATTGAATTAAAATCTAATTAGTCACCTGCAGCCTCAGAATACACTTTTAAACCTACATCACATCAGCAGGTTATGTCTACTCTGTGGTTCATTTTAAAAACAAAGGCCAATACAAAGGGCTGTAATTTTTAATAATGAGGCCTGAACTGATCTGTGAATGACTGAGAAAAATGATATGCAGCCCACAATGTGAATGCAGAGAAGACTCTTCCAGTGGTTTTCTACTGCTTGAATTGCAATTCAGTGACTGGCATAAAACTGCTACAAGCTCATTTGAAGTTCACTCTTGGTTTACATTCTTTCTCATATTTTATTTACAAAAGACATCTGCTTATAAATCTGATCTCATTATCACAATTGTACCTTGGAAAAGCAACTTATAATTCGCTACGGGAGATAATCAGGTAAACATGTTACCAAACAGAAATTTAATGTCCTTGAAGTTCAAGGGTAAGGTAAATCTATGTATGCTACTTAATATCTAGTAGAGATTGATTATTGAAGTATCAGCAATATTAGTCCTTAAAATGTTATCATTTGTGTAGTGCAAAAAACATGTGTGTATATGTACACAAACCAAAGTACTGGACAGGAGAAAAGAAATGTAATTAAGATTTTCTCACGGGACCGGGGATTTAGCTCAGTGGTTACGCCACCGGCCTTGAAAGCGCATAGACCCAAGTTTGATCCTCAGCCCATTTCATTCCCAGGTCATTCAGGCCCAGCAATCTTCTTGAGTAAAACATCACTTTCTTTAGTTCAGTTTTCTTCTCCTTCTTTGATAATATAAATGTACCAACCACTGGGCAATAAAAGGGCATACAATAGCATAAGTTAATGCAACAGGAGACATCTCAAAGGGCCACCAAGATGGTCTCTGTGAGGACTGATTACGAGACTGCAATGTTGATAATTTTGCCTACGAAGCGGCCAGTGTCTCCAGGTGGTGCAGCCTCCACAGCATGTTCTGCATGTCCTCCTGCAACTGCATAAGCATCAATGCAATCTGCTTGTTGAGGCTGCCTTGAGAGGCCCTGTCCCAGCCCCAGCACTCGCTGTTACCTCACTTGTTGGCCCCTGCTGCGGCACCCTGTGCCCTCTCCCTCTTGACATCAGAGTTCCTCGCTCTCTCCCCCTTGCTTCTCATGGTGTGGTCCTCCACTGTTACTTCTGCCATCTTCTCCTCCATGTTTTACTTCATCTTTTACTGCTACCACCTGCATAGTCCCAATGTTGCTAGTTCCAGGTGGTCCTTGAACATCTTCAGGAAAACCAGAATTTTCCAGGGGTGTGTTGGGATCACCATCCACGTAATATTGAAATGGTCCAATGATTGACGTAAAATTATCTAAAGACTCTTGTCCAAATTGCTCCATGGAATCACAGTAAACTTCACTGTCTGAATCACTTTTCAAATGCTGAATCCCTGAAACATCTTCAATATGATCATCATTTAGATCTTGCTGAATGCAGACAGCAGTTTTTCCAGTTTGCTCCAAGTTTTGCTCTACAGGTTTTCCTTCTTCAGCACTTCCATCATTCAGGGAAGAAGTGGCTTGAATGTTATCTTGTACATCCTGAATAAAGCTGTCTTTATCATAACCATTAGTGACAATGACTTCCAAATTCTTACGCTCTCCTGATTTCTTCATCGTTTTCTTAACATTATCACATTGTTCTGCTCCCTTTACTTCCTCCTGAACCTCTTCTTCCTCTGACTCAGCTCCACTATCACTGCTTTCAGCTTTTCCATGAATAGTTTTGGCATTTGGAGCAGAAGTAAGAACATTACCATGATCTGAGGTTAAATCAGAACTCCTGCCACTCTTTTTGTCTTCTACAATTTCATAAAATGGACCTATGACATGTGGCAATTCTTCAACTTTCTCAGTCATTGGCATAATTTCAATAGTCTTCATTTCTTCCACATATGTAATCATGGCTTCTTCTTTAGTCCTATCACCCAAATGAACTCCAAGCATCCCGTTTATATCTTCCAATAGGATCCCAGAATCCTGGCCTTGAAAGTTTACAGGGTCCTTTAGTTGACTGTTTATAGAAGTTACAGAACTTGAGCAACATTTCATGTGTTGGCTGGAATGAACCATTCTCCAGCAGGCTCTGGATCACCTTCACGGCCACCTCGAACCTGGTTTCGGGCACGGATTTCGCGTCCACCATCTCCAGCTGCCAGCGCTGGGGTCAGTGGGAATCAGGCTGCAGCAGCAGCACCAGCTTTGCCAGAGGCCTGCGTGAAATGCCAGAAAGAGCATCTCTAGCGCACAGCGGGCAGGCCTGAGCCCCAAAGCTGTACTGCCCATGCCGCCGGAGACCGCCCCACAGGGACGCGGCCCGCCCGGGCGGGCATGCAGGAGCCGTGCGTGCGGGCTTCGGGCCAGGACTGGGGAAGGGCCTGCAGCCGGACCTGAGAAGCTGGTGGGCACTTGGAGGCGAGGGCCGCCTAAGGGGCGCCCGGGCCTCCCCAGAGGCTAACCACCTCAACATATTTATTTCCTACGGTTTTCTGTGATTATTTTGCCTCAACCTCCCAGAATTCCGTATTTCCTTGGTGCTAATGTTTACCTAAAGTGGTTTGAAATTATATAAAGTACATCTACCTAAAGAAACCACTTTCAAATACACCTCCTATACTGTTATCTTTAAAAGCCATTATGAGTCCAATTTTGTTCATGTCTTTTAAACTAGAAAAAGTTTTTTAAAAGTTATAAGCCCTTTAGTTATTTTTGATAGTGAGAGAATGTATCTTATTTTCTTTTTCTTAATAGAAAAACAAATCTGTAAGAGTTTCAAATTTTAAAAATGGTATATTTCAAAACATGCTCTGATACAGTTACATTAACATGGATTAGAAATTCAAGGCAATTATTAATATAACACATTAAAAGAATATAACATGCTAGGTATCCATAATCCCAGCACACATCTGTAGTCCAAGCACTCTGGGATTCTAAGGCTCAAAGATCCCACAGTTCAAGTCCAGCCTGGGCAATTTAGCAACTTAGTGAGATCTTGTCTCAAAATTTAAAAAACATCTGGGGATGTAACTCAGTGTGAAGGCCCTAGGTTCAATCGCCTGTGACAGTAAAAGTAACACATCAACATGTACATAATTAAAAAGCTCAAACTTCATAGCAGGTACCCTCTTGTTAACAAATTACTTTGTAGCTCCATGGGGTCTATTTTTGTATAGATGTATGTAATATCAGTATCGTTTCTATGGTGTGCTAGGTATTTGTCTACACAGTGGGAATAAAAATGAAAAGTCTCAGGCCAGGGATTTAGTTCAGTGGCACTGAGCCTGCCTCACAAGAGAAAAGTCCTGAGTTTGATCCCCAGTACCAAAAAAAAAAGTCTCTAATTTCACAGACCTTATATTCCTATAGGAGAACAGAAAAAAACAAATTTCATATAGTACTAAGTGAGAAAAGAACACCAGTTAAAAGTAAAAGACCTAGGGCTGGGCATTTAACGCAGTGGTTCCAACGCCTGCCTTGCAAATGCAAGGTCCCGGGTTTGATCACAGGTACCAAAATGAAAGTAAAAGACTTAAACCAGTGAGAGCTGATGAAGGCCTCTGGGGAGTGTAATATTGGTGTAGTCTTAAAGGATATGAAAGAACGGGCCTCTTCAAGGCAGAGAGGAGAGAGTTCTTATCAGAGATAGTATGTATGTAAAACCCTGGGGAAATGACTGTTTCATACAGAGTATGGTAGTCAAAGCAGTCAGGGGATAGCATGTAGTTAGGGGTAGCTGCTTATTATAGTAAAGTCTTAGAAAAGAGTTTAGTTATGAATGTATACACATTCATTTATTTAAAGTCATCATTGGTTAATAACTGTCTGTTTTGTTTTTCCTTTTTCTTTTGTGGTACTAAGATCAAACCCAAGGGCACTCTATCACTGAGCCACATCCCCTACATGTCTTTCTGAGACAGGGTCTCACTAAGCTGCCCAACTGGCCTTAAATTTTCTAACCTTTTGCTCAGCCCCTTGAAAAGTTAGAATTGCACATGTATTACCACATCTGGAAAAAATATCTAAGGAATGAAAAATAAATACAAAATCATTAAGTTTATTGACTCCAATAATTTCTGAAAGATGGTGGCACTGAATAGAAGAATCAAATTGACAGACTTGTGAAAATTATACTTCATAGAAAATTATTTTCCATCGTTCGTTAATATTAGAACATTATTATTTAGGAAAACATTTACATACTGGTCCTTCCACAACAGATGCAAGCACTTCATCCCATAATTTCTGGTTCTGACAGTCTTCTCTGATTAGATTCTGTTGCTGAGGGGTAAGCTGGAAAGCCTCGACTGCTTCTGCTGAGTCTGATGCTTTGATCACTTTGGAGGCACTTGGACATTCACCTAGATTTAGTTTTAAAATGTTAGTAGTTCACCTTAGAACCACAACACAAGACTTAACTGGTACCAAAGGTCTTAGCAGGAATATGTCCATATAAAGCAGCTCCTAACTTGCCCTGGAGTTTAGGATACTATACTTGTTGCTGTTATGGATCTGATATTATTAAAATACACAAAAAGACCCATCACCCCCTTCCAAAACAACAAAACCCTTTGCTTATAATTTCTTATGAATCTTTCAATGTATTCTAAGATTCTTCTTTATTAAAATGTTATCAGGATATCCACCTCTGGATCATTACCTACCATCTGAAGTTGGCCTTTTTATAGCTTCAGTGGCCTGCTTCTTTGACTGTCCTTTAGTCTTCTTCCCTTCCTTATCTGAAGGGTAACCTGCTGGATACTGATGGGAGGGGAAAAAGGACAACAAAAATTTCAGCTTCATAGAGAAGGGAGGTTCTGGATCCTGGTGAGAAATTTTAAAGGGGGAGGGCAGTCTATTTTCCCCAAATGGAAAGAATATACATAAAGGATATACACTTTCAAAGAAAAGGGATACAAAAGACAGACTATTGAAATCCCAAATTCAGTTAAGCCATGTAGCTTTGACTTCTAAAATATTCCATTTTTATAATATAATGATCTTAGTTTGAGACCTAAAAGAAAGAAATCTTCAAGAGTTGTTACCAGTCAGCCTGAAAAGTTTAATAAATGGAGAATCTAGATACTAATGTGAAGATCAACCATGAAGCACAATATATGGTAATAAAATAGATAAATCAATCTAAAACAAAAAATTCAGGGCTAAATTTCTCATCTCCTAAAACTGGAGGTTAAGAGAAAAGGAGAAGATTCCCACCCCACCCCACCCTAGGGATGGAACTCAGGACCTTATGCTTGGGAGGCAGCCAGGGTGCCACTGAGCCAAATCCCCGGCCCAGGAGGAGATTTTAGAAGATCTAAGTGACTAAACTACTATATTTTCTACCACTTAAGGGTTTAGTTTTATGGGCTACATTCTAACTATTAACCCTGTGTTAGTGTTTTTGTTTTTTTCCAGTACCAGGATGGAACTCAAGACTTTGCACTTGCCAGGCAGGTGCAGTGCCACTGAGCTAGAGCTACATCCCCAGCCCATTTTTTTTTCTTTTTGAGATGGGGTCTTGCTATGTTACACAGGCTGGCTGTCAATTTTTGACAGTCCTGTCTTAGCACCCTGAGTACTTGAGATTACAGGCATGTGTCAACACCCAGCTAGCCTATGTTTTAAAGACTATTTTTGGAGAGATGGGGAAGGAGTAGCTCTTGAATGTTTATCTTTAAAGCTCTATGTGTTTGGCCTCAAGGTATTATTAATTTATCATAGTAGATGGGCTCACAGTTTCTAATAAACCCATCTAATGCTCTGAACACAAGGATCTGAAAAATCTTTTGAAAATGGATCTGAGAAAGTTTTTATATTTACTTATAAAATATTATTTTGGTAATTATTTTAGTAGTTGATGGATCTTATTTAAACAATAAATTATATGAATTTTAAAAAACACAAAGAAGCACACTTCCACTAAAAGATACACACTCACCTGCCTGGGTGGTCAGACACTTGCCCATAGTTCAGCCCCTACACATGCAATGTGGGCAGAGCCAGGGGAAATGACAAAGCTGACAGTTTTTACAGGAAGCACAACATGGAGAATTATGAGGAAAGAACTCAAACCATGCTCTGTCAGTAGCAAGGACAAAGTTCAAGGTATCAAGGCAGTGAAAGGGGAATGCAGCCGTACTATCCAGAAGGTACACAAAACCAACAAAGTCTTCTATGAATTAACAGCTGAGCATGGGCAAAGGGGAAAAAAAGGCAAATCACTGAAAGTGATAGCAGGGCAGGGAAGCAGCTTAGCGGGGAAAGAGAAAAGGGGTGAGGAAAAGTGAGAAGGGTAGGAAGCAGACCACTTTTATCAGCCATTTCCCCACCCTTCCCCTACCACATACATTCCCCCTGTGCCCTTTAGATATCCCTTTTCAAGGTCCCCTAAACTTAAATTTCATAAATCCCATTCTCTTATACCTCAAGTCACTTCTTTACCTAACTGGAAATATTTTACTTTTCATTGACAAATCCAGAACTCCCTAAGTACAACCTGTGCCTTCTTACTTTTCCTTTTGTATACAGCATGATCTTCTTGCTCACCCCTTATAGTCACTGATAAATGCTATGAGTTATATACACTATTAAGGCACATAATAGGGATGTATATTTTTATGAGCATGTGAGCAGCTTAGACAACATAAGCTAACCTGCAAGCGAAGACATAATCTCCTTGATCGCTCTATTCCTTCTGAGGTCCAAGGTGCAGGTTCAACATCATCTCTTCTTAAAAGGTAACGCCAAACCAAGAATCCATGACTGGATGAAATTTCTGGCCAGTATTTCACCACCTACAGCATAATATTTCAGCAGTATATTCATATTTAAAGTTTAGATTTATTTATAACGCATTAACATTAGTGGTTAAAATATGCTTGTTAGAATTTATTGCAACTCCAGAAGGTACTTGCTTTGGTGTAATAAGTCAAGAATATGCATTAAAACATAGTTTTGACTTTATTTCCTATTCAGATAGCTCCCATAGAAAGACAGGATATCCCAAAATTTAGTAAATTAAAATTGTGCTCATTAATATAATTTTGCCTCTTAAATAAGAATGGTGGCAGTTATATCCTATTTTTGAGCAAAAAGATAAAAATCTATTTTTAATATGTTGTGCTTTCAAAATTTACAATTATTAAATCATTCTGAAAAGATTGTAAGAATCAAGATCCACAATAGGCAGTTATTTAAATGGTTTTATCATAGAGAATCTACACTTAACTCAAAATATGACTTTGCCTTAGGAATGTCAAATAAGCTTTTTTGAAAAAATGACTGAAGTACAGAAATTAAGAGTCCTCTTTGTGTTTTGATTGGTTATGTTTCAAGTCATTTCCAAATTAACTGGACATTTTACTTTTTACTGAACTAAAAATGAAAGTGGAAATACAACTAAGATGGCCTCCTCTGTTCTCCAGCCCACCCACCAGTGCCCTTAGGTGACCCTGTCTTGAAAGCCCAGGAAGAATGACTAACAAGATGTCATGCCAGATAGAGCACCTTATAAATGCCATCATATCTGTTGCCTTCTTCAGGAGCATATTTGCTGATCTTCCTCCCTTTAAAACTGCGTATCACTCTGACTGGCTTACCAGCTCTCCAATTCCGAGACTCTGCTCCAATTTTATCATCCAATGGAGCATCACAGTTTAGGGCCAATGCCCTAAAAAAATAAAACAAAGTCTTTATACCAAGTAATTTTTTTCCAAGTACATAATCGACTCATTAGCTCAATTAAAAGGTGAATTATGCCTTACCTGATGGTTAAGAGTCTATGATTCTTTCCATATTATTCCAGATAATAGGATTATGCTTTCCCCCACCAGCAGAGAAGACAAATCAGTTTTCTGATGTCACCCCCAAGCCAGGGGATTGGTTCTCAGATAGCCTGTAGGGTTCTTCTGAAAGTAATAACATCTGTGCCACGTATAATAGAAAACAACTAAAAATACATGGAATGTTCTATAAATAACGGTTGTTGAGGGAAGGGAAAACGTTGGAAAACTAAAGCAAGTGATTGTTTTAATAGTTGTATTTGATAAGGGAGTGAAGTAAATTGCTGGAATGATATAGAAAGAAATCTAGAAAAATAAATTTGTCAGCCAGGTACAAATGACTGTTCTAGGTCTACTTTCCACATTCCAGACAATAGAGATTTATAAAAGTTTTAAGAAGAAGTGCAATATGAGAGTATTCTTCAAAGTCCTCCACAAAAAGATAAATTTAAATAACACTCAAGCATCAAAATGCTTGTGATAAATGATGACAATAAAGATTTTTGGCTGCCTGAGATTACTACCATTATTGATGCTGGAGACAAGGAGGAACACTGATTTGGAAGAGGCATCTGACCTAACTTAAACATCCTTACTATATGTTCACTTAGTATATGTACTTGTAATAAATCGGTGAGTTTACTAAGACACTAGAAGATCTTTCTTGGGAAAACCTAGGCCTACCAAAAATACTACAATCTTTGGAAAAATCAGTATTTTCCTCTAAGATATGCACGTCCTCACATAAGCAAAAAGAATACACTAAAAACAAAAAAAGGTTAAAAAAAAGAGTATGGGCCCAAGGATTCAGCTCAGTGGTTCCGATTGTATTGTAAGTGTAAGGTCCTGAGTTCGATCCCTGGTACCAAAAAAAAAAGTATACCTAATCTGGTGAAATGAACTGTGATACAAAATAGTTTTTCAGGGTATACTTATTTAATATAAGTTCAAATTAGAAACAGACCTTAATACTGTGGCTAACCTACTGAAAAGGAATCTCTTGACCATAGTTACCTCCTGAAGTAAATGAACTTATTTTGATTTTTAAATTTATTTTTATTTTTAAAAATAACTTTTATAGCTGCATTGAAGGAGTGAAGATCTTAACAAGTTATCTTTTTATCTAAAAAGGGAGATAATTTAAAACTCTGGAAGTTTTAAGATAAAATATTCATCAACTCTAGGCCTAGTACATCGTACTTATGGAATATCTACCAAGATATACCTGTTTTATCTTGAAGAACTAGGATAAGTAATATCTTCATGTTATTGAGTGAACATGCTTTAAATCTCATGGTACTTTCTTTCAGTCATAATTACTACTAACTGGCAATGTCCACTCCCTTTTAGCTTCAGATACATATACGTGCTATGCAAGGATGTGAAGAGTCCCAAAGGATAAAGCTAGGCAAAGCAGCAACAAAGCTCTTTCATTACTCTAACTGTAGCTCAATCAGTTGCCTCTACCTGCCCTACCAAAGGATTGCCAGGTTACCTTGTTGCCCTCTTCAGTTTCTTAAAGTGAAAGATCTGGGAAAAAATAGGAATAAACTCAGAAGCAAGAAGGTGTCCAATTTTCTCTCAGGAGAGAAGCAAAAGTGAATTTCACCATACACACATCATTTAGGGGAAAGTATATTATGGGTCAAAGTAAAGGCCTTTTAAGTAAGTTTTCATGTTCATGAGACAGGTATCTTTGCCCTAGAGATCTTACAATCACAAGGCATACTTATAGCTTAATGTACAATCAACTGGATGTTAAAGTCTAAATGAGAAGTCAATCCTAAATTGTTTTCAGTTAGTATTTCATTTTCACAACTCTCCTCTTAATAGCAAACATTTACACTGATCATCAATTATTTTGTAAAGAGAAAGTAATAGTACTTAATTTGTTGTCCAGAAGCTTGAAAGGAATCTACCATGTATACTGTAAATAAGTTATGAAAGAAGTTTCCTTCAAGCAAAATCATTTATTAACAAGAAAATACAAATTTCAGATTTCACAACTTTAAAAAGCCCCTTTGCAAATTCAAGTTAACAAAAATACATCAAACTATTTCTAACTTCTTTTAAGATCATTATTCTGAAGAGCTGCCTCCTTGACAGAAAAAGAATGTGTAGAGACTGGGCTCCTGCCTCAGGAATGTTTTCACCAGCAAATCTGACCTGTCTCCTCTGCTGGTTCAGTAAAATAATCCTACTGTCAGAAATAATACACAAGACAAAAAACATTCTATGTAATTCAGTATGCAATGAATTTTGAAATCATATTCTTTAGTTCACATGGTAATCACAAATTAAAAGGATGCTACTTAAAACCGAGTGATTTAGACTCAAAGGGAAAAATACTTTTACTCAATGCACAATACACTCTTCATGATATAAAAACATTTAACCATGTGATTATTTCATATGGTTAAAAATTTTAATGTCACAAATTAAACTGTGGTCTTGCTATCAGATGGTTTGGATTTGTTTTCTATTATTAATAGTAGCATGCATTTATAACAAAAATATTTTGAAATTACTAAATTTTTGTTTACATAAAGACTGTATATTAGAATTCTAATAGTTGGATGTCATTAATAGTTGTAAATAATAAAGCTCAGCACAAGGTGGCTCTTTTGTAATGCTGCAGAAGATTTAGTTCAAAAGGATCACTTTGTATCTAAACAAATTATCCCTTTTATAACATTAAGAAGACATTAGGATAAATTCCAAAAGCATCTTAAATGCAAATGTGATTAAATTATCTTCTATTTCCTCATACATATGTGGCTTGCAATCATAACCCTATTTCTTATTAATGGGTCTCTAAGAATTTCACTAGTCTTTATTAAAAGATTAAGCCTGTTGAGTAGAACATCATTTGTGTTGAGAAGAACATCACAATGTTGACTTATAGGGTAGGAAACAAGCCACCTTATCCTGAATTTCACTTAATAAAGTTCCTTTTTTTCAAAAGTGACATGTTTTCAAATGGACAGCATATGTTTTAAAAAAGACGAAGAAATAGGATCCTTACAATTCTATAATAAGGCACTAAAATTTCATATTTTTAACTCTTAATTTAAGACTCTTCCCTGCACTCTAAATTGCCAGTTACAATCCTATAATAAAACTTTTATACAGCATCCAAATTCAAAATGGTCTTTACAAAAGTACCTGTTCATGTTTGTTAATGTTTGATCAGCTGATGGTGCACCAATTCTTTTATTACCAGCAAGATTTTTACCACCACTTCCAGTGTATGTAAATTCATCACCTCGGTCCTATAGAAAAAAAATTTTTTACATTAAGGTACCTAAACCCAAGTAAATTTCCTTCACTCTTAGTTTAGAGTAAGAACAGTTGGCTAGGATATTATGAATTGACATGTTCTCTCCCAGTATCTACCAAAATTAGACAAAATTGGTGCAATTCTGTGTAGTATCCCAACTTATATCATTGACCTGAAGTTTTAAAAAAAATTCTAGTTTCTGACATTTCCACATGTTATTCTCATGCTATGTATATAGTCAGTCTAGAGCTTTTATAAGGTAGGATCTTAAGGACTGGAGTAATATATGTAATTTAATTCAAGGTTAACTAAAATAAACATATCATCGCCAGCTTGTAGGTTCTTTATAGATAATACTATTTTATTTTTTAAAAATTCTTTTTTGAGACTGGATCTCACTCTATAGTCAAGGCTGGCTTTAAACTCACTATGCAGCCCAGGCTGGCAACAAACTTGCAGCAATCTTCCTGCCTCACTCTGCCTAGTGCTGGGATTACAGGCATGTGCCACCATTCCCAGCCAACAGTGCTACTGTAATAAACACTCCATAACCAAACTCTCGGCTGTCACCTATACCATACCTAAATTTGTTGCCAAAGAGTGTTCAAATTCTGATGCTGACATCAAATAAATTTTATAAAGCAAGTTTACATAAAGACTATATTATAATGCTAATAGCACAGTAAATTCTCTACATTTTATACTGTTAGTTCATCCACAACTCAGTCAGATAAAATAATCATCTATTAAAAAGATATCTGGAAAACAATTTGAAAAAGTAGTATTTAGTATCTACTAAATATGGAGCAGAAATGCCAAAAGGGAAGCTATATAAACCAGCTCCACTATTATTTCTGAAGTAGCTACAAATTATACGGACAATACTAAGACTCTAAGTCGAAAAGTAACCATAAGTGTGTTAATTCTACCAACACCAAGTAACTAGTGATTCTTGTTTAATGTAAATAATTACTTCAGATTTTAATTAGACAATAGTTTTCTTAACTGAATTCTTACTCTAGAAGTCAATTAGTTACATCTTTTTTCCCCCCTCTTCTTTTTTCATACATTAAAAGCCTAAAAAGCCTAAAGAAGTGAGGTGTGGTGACATATAACTGTAATCCTAGCTGCTCATGAATCTGAGGGAGTAGAGTCACAAACTCTAGGTCAGCCTCGGCACCTCAGTGAGACTGTCTCAATAAAGCTAGGCATGGTGGCGCATGCTTGTAATTCTAGCACTCTAGGAGGCTGTGGCAAGAGGATCAGGAGTCCAAGTCCAGTCTAGGCAACTTAGCATGGCCCTGTTTCAAAATAAGGGCTGGGGATGTGGCTCAGTGTATAGGTCCTTGGTTCAATCCCAAATACTGCAAGATGTTACAGATGGATAGATGGATGGATGGATGATGGGCTGAGGAAGCAACTCAGTGGTGGAGCATTTGCCTAGCATGTGCAAGGCTCTGCGATCAATTTTCAGTAATGTATTTTTTTTAAAAAGCATCACTAAAATTTAACTGTTTTTACTGCTCCAAAAGCCTTGAATTCACTTTTTCTTGACCCAACACTGAAATCTCTATTTTTAAAAATAAGGCATTAGGGAATTTCATTTTTGATGTATTCCATGTGAGAAATTTTAATAAATAAGATCTAGACCAGTCTAGAACACTTCTTAAATTGATCACAAACAGTCTTGATCACAGTTGCTTGGACTGATTCCACAAACTCATAACTATTAAATTTTCAAGTTAAAATCATAGCAATGTTTCAAGGAAAAAACAGTGGGAATTACAGCAGCATCACAGGAACAATAAAAGGTGAATAACATTTAAAACACAGAAACGATTTCTGGTTGTTTTTCAGCCAACAATAGACCATATCATCAAGAATCAAGAAAAATGTTTAAGTTCATCTATAGTAACTCATCTACATTTCAATCATTATATACCAATCATTATACCTTTGTATTATCATAGGAGAAAAAAGATTTGTCACACTGTCAGAGCTCAGACAATATCATCATTTCAGACTAATTTTTGTATGGAAAAATCACCTAAATTTGTTGCATCTTCTAGGCCATGATCCACTAAACTGTACCCCTAAGCAGTAGCCTAAAGATTGCTGCCTAGGGAAACCCACATAATGAAGCTATATCTACAACAGGGATGCAATTTCCCAATCTCTTCTTCCAATTTACTAAAGCAGCTGCCTAAGACCACTTGTGTACTGCCACTCCAGCCATCTTATGATCTCATAAGACCTCCCCATCCAAATCTTGTCAACCTTCCCTCTAAAGCACATCAAAGGAAACCATTCTAAAGCACAATTAAAACTCTTAACACTTCGCCTCAGTTTTTACCAGTTTCTACCTCCTAATACCCTTTATGAGCTTGCCAAAAGGGGTACTGATGCTACTACCAAGAACACCTACCTTGCCCTTACCACGTATGTGGGGACAGGCAAAGCATTTTACCAGTGATGCTTCATTTAACTCTCACATCAAGACCAAGAGGTAAGTGTATACACCTTATTTTACAGATAAGGCAGAGATTCAGGAAGTTGTTTTAGGTCACATGGCTAGGAAGAGATGGCTCCTGGACACACACAAACAGCATGATTTCAGAATCTTAGGTCCACTGTGCAAATCACTTCTCCACACAACTGTGTTTCTCAAGAAAGGTGACAAAAACACAGAACACTGAAACCTGCTTTTGATGAATTCTCGTTACTGACCAAATATTAACTAATGTATTAGCAGGTACTCAAAAAGAATTTTGTATTCATTCATACCAACAGGACAAAACTCACCGGCTACATACATGTTATATCACATTTGAGTTTAAAAAAAAATTTTCTCTTGAATCAGAAAAGCTTATTCAGTTTCCCTCACCTGTTTCTGTAACTATGACTTATCTAATATAGACAAAAAGGTTTAAAATGCTTATAAAATATATCAACATTCCCAGGTACACCTTAGCTGGCAATTTAATCCTACATGTCATCTTAGTCCAAAAATAAAATTCTTCTTTACAATTCTTAAGAAAAGTACCTAAGATTCTGTCTCTCCTATTTTAATGTTGTCAGTAGTAACTGTACTGAAAATATGGGATAAAAGGAAGTCATAATACCCGCTCCTGCACTTGTGGCACTCATTTCCAGCATTACAGAGACAGGTCAGATATACTTCATATATTTAAAGTAACAATTTGCTCAGAGTATATAACTAACATTGAGTCCTTTTAATATTTTTAAAGGTTTTTTTTTTTTTTTGTGAGAGCAGTATTGGGGATTGAATGCAGGGCCTTCACAATCAGTTATATCACCAGACCTTTTTAATTTTAAGATGGGGTCTCACTAATTACATTGCCTATGCTATGCTGCAACTTGAGATTTTCCTGCCTCAGCCTTCTGGAGTGCTGGGATTACAGGCATGTGCCATCATGTGCCATCAAAGATTCACTACATTTGAATCTTTGTAATGTGCCTAGGATTCCTAAAATTTTGGCCAAAGTTTCACAAACAACAAAAACCAAAGCCTAACTCAAATACAAATGCCCAAATGCTAAAGAGACTCCACACTCTCCAGTTGCTGTTTTACCAGTTTTTATAATATAAAATCTTTTGTATTTCTAACAAATAAAGATACGGCTTTGAAATACCTATTTTAAGGGAATACAAAAAGAATTAACTTGAATATGTTCATGTTGTTTCCTCTGCCGCGTTAATATAAATGCACTGTCAATTTGCCTATCAGAAAGACAGTAAACTTTTGTTTTTGTCTGAAAACATACTACAGTTGTCTTCTCTGTAGCCACTTTAATTAATCTTAACATTCCATAAAAACAATCAAATAAAACAGACTAGGAGAAAATACTTAAACACTACATATCTGATAAATGGCAAAAATCAAACAATCCAATTAGAAAATGTGAAAAAACAAATCTAAAGGCTGTATGAATGTTAAACAAGCAAATGAATGATGTTCAACATCATTAGCCATTAGGAAAAAGTAAATTAAAATGAGTTACCACTACATACCTATCACTATGGCTTAAAATGAAAAATGGCAAAACAGCAAATGCTGGTTAACGATGCATAGAAACTCAAATCACTCATATTGCTGATAGAAATGTAAAATGGTACAGGCACTCCACAAAACAGTCTGCAGTCTCTTTTGAAAAATAAAAACACAACTACCAGGAATTGGGGTGGGGATTTAGCTCAGTGGTTTTGCTGCCTGCTATGCAAGTGCAAGGATCTGAGTTCGATCCCTGGCACAAAAACAACAACAACAACAACAACAACAAAAACCCCAAAAACTACCAGGAATTGCACTCCTTGACATTTAGGCCAGAGAAATTAAAACTTCACTTACACAAACACTATATACATATGCAACTTTAGCTATAATAGCTAAAATCTACTAATGCAGACATTTTTCAAGAAGTGAATCGTTAAACTATAGTACATTCATACCATGGACTAATCCTCAGCAATAAAAACAAATATATTGATAGAAGTCACGATGTCTCGAGAATCCACATTCAAGGAAATATTAAAAAAAAAAGTGAATCCAAAAGGTTACGAAGTACATGATTCCACTTACAGAAATTCTTGAAGTGACAAAATTACACAAATGGAGAAAAGATTAAATGTTACTGGTGTTAGGGACACAATATAATGGGATTTTTACACTTTGTCCTTGGCTCTATGTTACAACACAGCCTTATTAAGTTCTATGGGCTGACTGTAATTACAGTAAAACCTGAGTCTGGGAGAATAATTCATTGAGCTCATAATCCAATGCACTTGTGTATCAAAGCAGCAAAAGTGAGCAAGAAACCAGTTATGATTATGTGATGTTCAGCATGACATACTACTCCAACGCAAGACATTTCTCATTTATTGTTAAAATTTCTTACAAATGTTTGCTCATCTTGCAGAACACTCACAGACCAAGTTACTCGCAATCCAAGGTTTTACTGTATATATAATCTCTTTATTTTTGACAAATACTGAAGGTGCATAACTGAAATTATGATAGTAGAAATGTTAGGATTTTGTGTGAATGTCAATATCCTGGTTGTGATACTGTATTACATGGACTATGACAAAATGTCACCATTGGGAGAGCACAGGATGGCTATATTGTTTGTAATGCTACAATTTCTAATTGTGAATCTACAATTACCTCAAAACAGTAAGTTTAATTTTTAAAAGCTGAGCTCTATAATGTATTTTGTGTGTAATAATTGCTTAGCAAATATAAATAAGTTAAATTAGTACATGTAAAGACACTACCAGTTTCTCTTATTGCTTGTGGAAAAATAGTTACTCCAACATAAAAACTATGCTCAAAAGAGATAGCAGTGTTTGGTGAATCGTAGACAAAGCTTTTAAATTTCCCTAAGTAATCAAGACAAGTTCTAAAAAACAAAGTCTTAACATGACTTACTACTTCATCTGCAAATCCACCAGCCAGGACAAGAGAATAAGCCCCATCATTACTGCGACCATGAATTCCACCAACATGGGGCCTATGAACACCTGCTTCGCTCACCTATAAAATAAGTAAAAAGAATTGTGAATACCTCCCAACAATTAAGTTACATTTATAAAAAGCTTTCACATATATTATTGAGTCATGAACCAAAGAACCATGTCTCACCCAGAGTTCTATCTTTTGTTCTCTCATTTTAGTTCTCCCCAAATAAATCCTAAAGGGGCTAAGGTGACAAACCTTCAATCTGAGTAGGCCTAGATTTCTCAGTTTCATAGTGACTTTAATAATCATCATCTTAAGTAATTGGAACTTCCAACCAAACTCAGGAAAAAGAACACTTGTCAGTGGTCACGATCACTTTTCCCTTATTTCTCTTCTTTAATTATGGGTATTTCCTACCCACACTGTCACATCAAAAATGCAGGTATCATTTTACCCCATTCTTTTCCTATGTTCCTCAAGACATATGGTCACAAACACTCTTGATTCTATTTCCTAAATCCTTCAAATCCATCTTTTTTATTCCCACTGCTCAATCTTAATTTGAGTCATTTATGCTTACATCAGACTCTATTTCATTGCCTTCAGTTTTGCTCCTTTGAACTTACCTTACCATTAAAACAGTATCTGTTTGGAGAAGAACTGTGTTTGACTTTTAGTGCTTAAAATATATTAAATGATCTTAAGAGTATCAAGCTCAAGTAACGCTTATATATTGCCCTCTGTCAATTTTGCTATTTTCCCAGCTTTATCTATAGCTGCCCTGTCATGCAGCCTGTAAGTTAGAGCCAAAATTACTGAACGTTACCCAAACATGAATTCCATTTCCAATTTAGTGATGCTATCCCTACTCCAACATCCTATGGATTTTCTCATATATTTTGGATTCTTCTTCACTGAACTAAGTACCCCTCTTTCTACACTTCACACTCCTTGAGCAAGGTATTATAAAAACAATTCTTCTTAGTAAAAGAAGCTGAAATTTAAGCTTACCCAGTGAGCTTGGAAAAAGAAAGCGGTAAGCCAACAAGAAGCTAATAATAAAAACTGAAACCGGAAAAGCATAGGCCTTGGAAACTCCAGATAGTTTAGCAGGAGTCAGAGGCACTTGGTTTTACTACTTCACCAATCTTAGTAAAAATAAATTTCTTCTAGTATCTCCCATTCCCTAAAAGGCAAATCCATTCTGCTACATGCTAAGTCAATAACCTCAGTCATCTTGGAGTCTTAGACCTTATTAAAGGGGCTTTTAAAGTTGGGGAATGATGTACTAACAGATACACTCAAAGGAACAAAAATATTTATAGCATTTTAGTATAATGTATTTATAATATTTCCTGTACTTATAGATCAAAAGTTATAAAAATACAAATCCTAAATAGTAGTTCAGTCAAAATTCTGACATAACTATTCCAAGGATGAGAGGATGCAAACTACTGAGCTAAATATCCATCTTTCATAGAAGAAAATTAGTAAAACTAAAATATAAAAGAAATAAACAAATACGTTATTTAGAAATAAGGCAGAGCCATGGGAAAAACTAAAATTTTATCTCTGAAAAACAAAAAATGGGAAATGAAAAGTATGAATAGTATATGAAATCACATACTACTTAACTTTTCAAGCTATGTACAATGTATTTCTATTTTAATTTTAAAATCGTATCAAAGATCTAAGTACAATGGATCACTAAGTATTAAAAAGCAGCCTTAGTTGAAGTTCAGAATCCTTGGTATCTCTAAGAATTGTCCTTCTCCAAAATTGTGTTTCTTTCATATGAAGTTTTCCATGATGAAATTAACCTTCTAAAAAAGAAATTAGGAATGAATACAACAGTATCTTCCTCAAGTGGAAAAGAGAGAAACAATTTTATTCTTGCATTAGCTAGCACTTCCTTCTAATATGTTCACTTTCACTGAAAATAAGCCTCAAAGAAAACATTCAAAGTAGGCTTAAAAGTTCAATGACATTTAATTAGAATTTACCAACTGACTTAAAGAAAAAATTAATATTCAAATATTACATTTTTTATAAGAAAATTCTTTTGAAAGCTTAATGATAAGAGCTAAGCATGGGAGTGCACACCTGTAATCTCAGCACTCTATGAGGCTGAGACAGGACAATTCCAAGTTTGAGCCCAGCTAGCTGGGCAACTTAGCAATACTCTGTTTCAGGCATTTGAAAATGTAGCTCAGATACAGCCCTGGTTTTAATCTCCAGTACAGCTGGAAGGGGAGGGAAGAAGAGAAAAGAGAAAAGAAAGATAAAAAGAATAATATTAACACCATAACTATAAAGAACAGTAAAATAAACTGATAAGAAAGCATAGCTGATGACCGATTCTGTGATGTATATTCCTGTTAGCCTTCCTGCTGACAACTGATGCACCATTTGCTATTAACAAGATCCACCTTATAGTCAATACATGTTAACACTACCTTAATTTTACATAAACCCATTTTATTCTTTCAATTAAACCAATTTAAAAACGTACCTGAACTCTAAATCTCCAAGTTGATCCAACAGGAATACCAGGAATAGGCCCATAATGATTAGAAGGGACAATTGTACATTCTTTTGTACGGCCAACACAAGCCATGCCCTGCAAGTTACAAAACAACCTATCTGAGAAATCAATTATGTTAAATCTTAATTGAAAAATTTAAATCCCAAAGATAACACAGAAGCCCCACTATTTACATGTAACTTAGATGTCACCAATTTTCACAATTATACTATTTAATCTTTTGCTATAACTGCTGCTTTCATTAAAACATTATATAAGGGGGTGTGGGGAGAAAGGAAACCTTCTCCATTGTTGGTGGGACTGCAGACTGGTGCAACCACTGTGGAAATCAGTATGGAGATACCTCAAAGAACTAGGACTAGAGGTCCAATTCGACCCAGCTATCCCCCTGCTGGGGATCTTCCCCAAAGAATTAAAAGAATCATACCACAGCGATATATGTACACCCATGTTTATAGCGACAGTTTGTAATAGCTAAAGCTTGGAAACAGCCCAAGTGCCCATCAACAGAAAAATGGATAAAGAAGATGTGCGTTTTTTTTTTATAAAATGGAGTACTACTCAGCCATAAAGAATGAGAAACTGCTGTGCACGCCCTACCAAGGTCCTGAGTCATGCAGAAGATGCCATATCACCCCAGGGCAGACAGGCAGGTCTGCCCATGCCCTACCGAGGTCCTGAGTTGCACAGAACACGCCGAATCAGCCCACTGCAGACAGGCAGGTCTGTGCAC